ACCGTTCTCCTGAGCCATGTAGAATCACCCACCTCCCCCCATTTGAACACTCAGCTATACAAGTGCGAGAACGGTTATATTTTGCACTTCTACTCAAAAGGGCCGTGGCTATATTTTGTTTCAGCCTGTTGTGACTTTTTAAACCTACTGGTTTATATTGTTAACATGGCTGGAAACAATAAGAGGTAGAATAAACAGATGGGTCTTTGATTATTATTATTTTTTTTAAATTACTTTGCTTTTAAGGAGGTTCATTCTCCAAGTGCTACTAAATTCAGGATTCCTGGGTTCTATTCCCGGCACTGACTGGAGAGGAGGTAAGGCTGAGCTTTTAACTGGAGGAGCTATGTGACTAGCTGGGCTGAGACTGGCTCCCTTTGTTTTTTCAAAACCTAGTGACTTGATGGATTCCTGTCCTTAACCAGTTGTATATTAACCACCTTCACAATACTGCATGGCTGGCTTTTGTTTTGACTTTATTGGCACATGTTCAGAGGTGGTGTGCTCTGAATAGCATTGCAATGCACCCAAGTGGCCACTGGGACTGTACGATTAATCATCTTTCCTTTCAGTCACCCGGCTTCACTAGCCGCGCATGGGTAGGGATGGAAGCTCCTTTTGGCTGGCTGCTTTGGTTAATCAAAAATGACAGATTTGCTGCTGCCTTCAGATTTTAATTTATGATCATCAGTGAAGGCTACTGCGAGCATTCCTTGTAGACAATTATAGTGGCGTTTTAGTATAGTATTGAGCTCAGCTCCTCCACTGAGGTTTAGAGGGAAAGGAATATACAGGCCTCCCGGTACTCTTACTAACTGGTGATGTGAAACCCATCAAAGAGGAAGAAAAATCTGCCAGGATGGAAATAACATGGTTTTGGGTAGGTGCTGAGGCACCAACATGACTAGTGTGGTGTTAAATCCACGTCAGACTCATACTTGCATTCATTTTCCATGTGTCAGAGCTGGGGGAAGTTTCCAGGTTTAACTCCATGAGTGAGGCAGGAGAAGGGGTGCTGACAAGTGAGGCACCCAGGAAACGGTGGGCCAAGGCTTCTTTGCGAGGCCTTGACGAGATCCCACTTACGCAAGTGATCTGTCGAGGAAAATATTGTTGGAATACTCAGTCAGCTAATTTCCTTTTTCCCTTCTCAGGTCTTTCGTGTCAACACATTGGGAGTGAAGTTTTGCTAGCGGCCATATTCTATTTTTAGAGTATATTTCTGCTGTTCCATTCCCAACCCACACTCCATCAGCATCCAGTCCCTCCCACCCAAAAAATAACATTGTTTCTTGGATGCTCTTAAAATAGCTGGTCTGGGATCCTGTGTTGTTTTTTTTTTTTAAATGTAGGAATCTTTTCTAGTATTGAGATCTAGCATTTTACCTGGATAGTTCCATGATGTGATCTTAAGAAGCAAATAGTTTAAGCATCTGATTCTCCTTTTGGCAGTAGAAATCTCCCCTTAAGCCCATGGCTATTTGGAAACTCTGCTGTGGCGCTGGGATGAAATAATGCGGAAACAAACCTCTAGTTCGCTTTCCAATAGCACTTGAACGAATCATTTTTGAACACTTGCACCGAGCTTATTTGCTCTTTTTTTCACGGGGAAGTGTTTGTGGGCGGCATCATCGTATCCTTTCAGCTGCCTGTGAAAACCTTTGGTTTTCTGATGTCAGAATTTTTGCTTCTTTCTGAGTCTAGGAATCTATTTGGCAATTATTGGGAGGACCTTTTTGTAGCTCTCCTGTCTTGAGAGCAGAGGACGCTGATGGAATTACGGTGCTTGGAAATTTTACTAGAACTCGATTTAGGATTTTAGCCGTCCAGGCTATACTCTTGTGTTCGGGATTGGTGAGGCATGCTAGGAACCTGTCATGTTGTGCTGTTAGTCAAGCAGAAATTCATGCTGGGGTAGTGTAGACTCTTCTATACCCACAAGCTTCTTCCAAGAAGTCGTCTTGCTTTCTCAGAGGTGGCACTGAAGATATTGCTGAGGAAACTTCTGTCCTATTTCTTTAATCAGGATTGACATCTTCCCCCCCCTTCAGTTCCTGCCATGCCACTCTTTCCAACTGCTCCCATCTTTTAAGATGTGCTTGGAACAGCCACAATATTCAATGGCCCTCCCTCTCCTCCGTGAAAGCCAGTGGGTCATTTGTTTGAGACTCCATTGTAGCTGCTGGGCTAAATGTCTATTGCTTTTCAGAGTTTAAACTCTCTGGGAGGCACTATAATCTGGTGAGAGGAGGAAGCTAGTAGTCAGGATACCCACATCTAGTTCCTAGTTCTGCCACTGGTTTCCTTTGTGGCGTTGGGCAAGTTACTTCATTCCTGTTGTCGGATCTCTGCTTCCACACTGTCTTCACCTGCACAAATGGGGATAATACTTTGAAGTGCCTTGAGAGCTTCACGTAAAAAGCAGCATGTAAGTAAGGTATATAATTATTCCATGTATATGGATGATGGTATTTTTAAATCATCTGTTTAAGGTGTGTTTGGAGAAGCTATACTCTAAATACACAACCACTGGTCCCCGCTGTCTAATAACTGTCCTATCTGCAGGGAAGCGAGATCAAAGGAGTATTTTGAGGTTTTTCAGTACTAGATTGCCAGGAGGACTGTTTTTCGTCACTGTTTTTATCCAGAGATTATTTAGCTGAAAGACAGGGTGGGTGCTGTAACAAAGAGACTGTGGTGGCCAGAATGATGTGACTCCATGCTTCAGTCGTGTTCCAGCGGCCTCTGCTGCAGATAGCTAAAAATAACATTTACTTCAATATGCTCTAGTCCCTGGTTGCGAGGTGGGGTGTATGTGTATGGATTTTATCTTCCCGCTGGGATTTCTCACTGCTTCTTATTTTAAACATCACCTGCCAGGCTTGATGTTTCCAGGTAAGGCAGGTGGTTGGTAGGATAGAACAGAACACTCTGGACAGGTAAAGTCTGTTATGAAAAAAACAAAACTGGTTAACATAGCAAATAGGAATATGTTTTCTGCCCCCACTTTAAATGGAGCTGCCAATGTTTTTCTTGCTGTTCCTTTGTGTATATACCTTCACATAACAAAGGAAAATTCAGATGGGTTTATAAAGCCATTTGAGTTAGCAGCTAGTTAAAAAAAAAAAAAAAAAAAAAAAAAAAAGAGGGAGTGGTTTATAGGATATAGCACTTGAATGGTAGTTTGCCAGTGTGAATCCAGCCCAGGTCAGTAGAGACTACAAGTTACTACCTGGTGACTGAGGTCTTCTGTGAAATGAGGTGGACATGTCAATCCAGTATTTGGCAGGGAGAGGAGTCCACAAGAATCACAGAGAAAAGTGGCACTCACTGGTACCTTCTTGGGCAGAAGGTCTAAGGATTTAATTGGGCATGTAGACGGTATTCTCCTCTGCTCTAGTGATGGTCACTGCAGGTTCAGGGTTGAAGCACTTCGAGCAGGACATTGTGCTAGGGATATACTTGCCCTTCTGCTGCTTGTTGTCACCTGATCTCCAGAAAAATTGAGGACCTCCATCTCCAGGGCTATCCATCTGGCTCCTTTCACCACCCACGCTTATTTTCACATGAACATATTACACTTTAAAATGGAAAGAAATGGTTGGGAGGGGGAAGCATTGTGCATCCATCTCCACCCTCTGCGTTTGCCGGGGGACTCGGGTGAATGGACTGCTTCTGATTTGGAAACCAGAGGTTTCTTGAACTTGCTTTAGTGTTACTACTGTATTAGACAGCATCCAAGTGGGGAATCCCCTTCTGATGATTAAAAGTCTAACTAGAAGTCAGCTTGCCTATAAGTTGATGTAAGAATAGACCTTTACTAATTGTGCACGGACATCTAGAGGAAACCTGTCTGAAAGCTTTTGCGTGCTTCTGTGCGAAAGAGCTGAAGATGCACTTCTGAGTTTGAGACTAAAGCTCTGGAGATGTCCTGCCACTGTTGTGAATGGTCTCCTGTTTTGATCTGTAAAGCAAATTAACTGACAAACCATGAGAATGTTGGAATACCTCAATGGTAAGGCTCACAGCTGTTACCCACTTTCCCCACCGATCTCCTTAAGAATGTGTTATGCAGACAAAACTACACAGGATCGTTTTAGGGGGCAAGACAAAGATGCCACATTTATTATGATAACACAATTTGATTTATGACCAATAACTAATACTTATGTGCGCGTGCACACACACACACATATATATATCTCAAATGTTCTGCAGCTGCTAGATAGTTACCAGTCCTGAATGTAGCTTGAGTTTGTGGCTTGGGTTCGTAGCTTGTGGGCGGCTAACTGGCCAGGAAAGCCGGGCACAAGGAAGGGCTGGGTCTCTTCTGGGCATGCACCCATGCCCTTCCATGTTGGCAGCGGAATGTTACCCTCCAAAGTCTTCCATCTCACCCATCCTTTTTGTAGGCTTTAGTTTGAATCCAGAGTCTATAGATCTTGCTGTGTCACACTGCCTCTGGGTTTGGTGACTGATCACCCGTCAATTGCAGACCTGACTTTCAGCCTGGGACCTGGCTTTGATCTTCCTTCTATTGTACCTTTTGTTTTTTTCTTTTTAGGATGGACTTTTCTTACTTTGTTAGGGCTGTTGTCTGCATCTTCAGCTGTTGGTGTTTGAACTCTGTTTTATCAGGACTGGCTGGCGCTGGAGGTTGAATTCAGTCATCCATACATACCTCATTCACACATCTAAACTAAACTAATAAGATTACAGCAGGGTTTGCAAAGGCAGCAAGCTTTTACAAAATGGAGTAAGCGTTTTAAAATGGGGTTTGAATTACAATATGGCAAACAGTGAACAGAAGTGACCATATAGACAAGTGTAGTGGATGGCAAACAGTGAACAGAAGTTACAATGTTGAAATAGTGCAAGTCTCAGTGATTTAAGCAGGAAAAGGATTGACAGTGAAACTTACAAGAGCAACTGACTGAACAGCTATGGCTCTTGAGCATCTTAATTGTCAATTAGCCAGTTATTGGGGTAACCGGTTTCATGAATGAATGTTGTTTCATTCATAAAACTTTACTTATGAAGTTACATTAATAAAGTGAACAATTAAAAACAATTTAATTCATCAGTTCTACAAATGGCAAGCAGCCAATGAGAAAAATACCATTGTAATCTATTCCACAGTGCAAAGGATGGGTTCCCCCCCCCCCCAAGTCATACCACGTGATTCAGTCATGGCGTTTTGGTGCTTTGTAAATTGCGAGTAATGTAAACGGTGTATATGATACAAGAGCTAGCTAAATGCCTGAGATTAAGCATATTTTAATTTCAGTGGAAGTTTGCTAATTTACAGGCACACTCAAAAAGGCTGGATTTCATCATTAGTAAAATTACAGGAAATTGAAGTGATTTCATAATACCTCACGACCTTTTAACAAAATACAGTACAGAACACTTGGAAGCGTTACCATAAATAATTAAATTGACTACACTTGTCAAGTTAACAAAGTACCATGGGATGTATTAACCTGGTGGCTTTTTGTTTGTATTCTTAAATTTGCAATGGATATTCCAGTTCTTAGTGAAATTGTTTACTGAGTGTTGGCTGTGTGCTCCGGGCAGCTAGATGAGAAACAGTAAAAGGCATCACTACTTGCCACACTTGCAAATGTATCAGATCAGTCGTGCAACGGTCAGTTGATCCGGCAATAAAAGGAATCCCATGAAGAAGTGGGCTGTAGTCCACGAAAGCTTATGCTCTAATAAATTTGTTAGTCTCTAAGGTGCCACAAGTACTCCTGTTCTTCTTTTTGCGGATACTTAACTTAACTTAACTTAATGGAGATATCCCATCTCCTAGAACTGAAAGGGACCTTGAAAGGTCATCAAGTCCAGCCCCCTGCCTTCACTAGCAGGACCAAGTACTGATTTTGCCCAGATCCCCAAGTGGCCCCTTCAAGGATTGAACTCTCAACCCTGGGTTTAGCAGACCAATGCTCAAAGCACTGAGCTATCCCTCCCCCCTGGATACAGACTAACACGGCTGCTACTCTGAAACCTGTATGGACTCTGGTTTCTTTTCTTTCCAGGTCTGGAATTGCAAAGTTATGTGTCGAGTCTTTAGAGACTTGGTAACGTTGCAGTACCCCCTGTCCAGTGACTGATAAAGTGGTTAGAGCACATAGCCAAGTCTGCAGTGTGTACAGATGGTTCTGTGTTGGAGAAAGTGCAAGTTAAACTTGCTGTTTCATGGTTTAGAGGCTAAGCTGTGGACATACTGGCACTGACCTTTAGTTTTGCTTGAACAAGGTATACGGTAGCAAAGGTCATTGTGGGTGTCAGAAGATTTGGATTCTATTTTGAAGTCTGCCTTTTTCCTTGGATGGCTTCCAGTTCCACTGCCTCCCTGTCTGGAGGGTTTAGATGGGGGAAGTTAACTAGGTTAGGCGAGTCATATGTGGGGGAGTAACCTCCGTTTGGATGCAGCCAGGGTAAGTGGGAGCTTTGGATAAGTGGAATTGTCTTGTACCCCATTTTAAAAAAAATAGTCTTCTTCCCTGATTTCCTAAAGGCTGTTTTGCACAACAACTCTGTGCTTAAATGGCCCACAACAGTGGCTGCGGCGAAACTCATGCAGACCTAGTTGTTTTCTTTTTAAGTAAACTGAACTTTGTGTCTCCTTAGTGTTACTGCCCTGGTGCTTTGTGAAGAGCATTGGCTGAACAAGGCTGCATTATGGGCACCAGCATGCTGCGGAGTTAGTGCTGATTCAGAGTGAGGAACTCCGCTTGGTTTCTAACTGTTCTTAGTTATATCCAGGGCCGTCCTTACCCAGACGCAAAGTACTCAGCTGCGTAGGGCACCAGGAAATTTCGGGCACCAAATTTCCTGCTGCCCTGCGCAGCTGCGTGCTGCTCCAGCCCCTGCTCCGGCTCTTCCCCGTCCCGACTCCCCTGAGGACTCCAGAAGTGGTTGGGCCTGCACTCACCAGTAAGTAGAGCAACCTGGCCCCAGCCTGCTCTGCTCCCCTGGCTGCCAGCGAGTGCTGGGGGGCGGTTCCCCCCTCCCCCCAAGCCTGGGAGCCAGGGGAGCAGAGCAGGCTGGGGCTAGGTCATTCCACTTCCTGCAGGAAGTGGCCAGCCCCCTTACCCCCCCCCCCAGAGGCCTGGGGCAGGGCCCCCCACAGCTCCCCTGCGGCGGGGCTGCGTAGGGCACCAAAATAGCTAGGGACAGCCCTGGTTGTATCGCCCCTGTCGTCATCTCCTTATCACCGATTCTTGAGAGCACGTTGAAATATAACCCTGGTCCTGACTTCTGAAACTGGTTTTAGCCTCCTAAAGGCTTTTCAGCGTAACAAGAAACCTGCAGAAGGCACCTGGCACTCTCCTTGGAGCTGTAAAACTCTTGCTGGTCTGTCTGTGCCTAAGGAAGAATAATCAATGTTCATGACCCTGACAGATTTTAAAATCATTG